ATATATATATATATATATATATATATATAATTTAGGGGGTTAGATATGTAAACTTCCAATTAAATTTCATTTTAATTTATGATAGGGTAATTATTTCGTACAAAGTACTGCTGTTTTCCGTGCATAGTTTCTCCAATCAAAGATGATGATATAATTAGTTGACTTCTAATTATATTAAATCAATGTTTATGTAAAAATAATATGCCTTAAATTAACTACTAATTAGCCATCAATAATGCTTTAAACAAATAATATAGAAATTAAATATGAAAGGGTGATGAGAGAACATGATCATGTGTTTTAGTGTCAATCAATTAAAAAGTAGGGGCATTTACATACACGCCACCCAATTACTTTGTATTTACATATTTAACATTGAAATTTTAATTTTTACATTTATACCACCTTAATCTTTAACATGACATTAAAATGTATACATTTTCTTACATAAGTAACAAGTAGGGGTGTCAAAAAAGCCGTTGTTCCCGAACAGCTCATGTTCGGCTCGTTCGTTAAGTAAACGAGCCGAAAACGAACAGCTCTTTGTTCGCTCGTGTTTGGCTCGTTTTAGCACGAAATAAAAAAAATTATATAATTATTTATATAAAAATATATTACACATATTATTTATATCTAAGTTTAAATTGTAACTGCTCTTGTGTTAATGTGGTTATGCGTTTTGTTTTGCATATATTTGGTTCATGTTCGAATCCAGCACTCTACATCTATTTTTTCAGTTTAATTTTAACGAGCCAATTTCGAGCTCGAAAACGAGCCGAACACAAATCGTGCCGAACACAAGCCAAGCCTGAGCTTGCTCAAGCTCGGCTCATTTACTGCTCTAGTAACAAGACAAGGTGACAAATATGTAAAAATTATAGTGGGGTTAGGAATGTAAATACATAAGAATTGAGTGGTATGTTTGTAAATCTTCCATAGAAGTATATGACTAAGTACAACTTGGTTAATAATGCTTCTAAAATATTCCATAATTTGAATATTCAAAGGGAACTATTGAATGGGAGGGACATGTTCTCACTTTCATATATTACTAGTCCAAGTTCTTATTGTATTTTCTTAACCAACCATCCTCAAAAAGCTGACCGGCAAAATGGATTGGGCCAAGGAAAAGAGAAATTATTACGTGCGGAATGGGCTGCCAAGCGAGCCGCAATGGCATGGCAACTTTCAGACGTTCAGTCAGCCACACATAATAATATTTCTAAGCGAAGAGAGTAGGAGAAATCGTTGTATCTTTGTCTGTCTATTGAGCCTTTAGAAAATTCATCACTTAAGCAATTCAACTTCAAGGCAAATTGTCTTCATCAATTAAGCATAACACTTAGGGGTCGTTTGGCGCAGCTTATATGCTGCGTCCGACGATTTCGTAACGTCGTGATCCCGTTTGTTTTACGCGTTCGCTCGAGCGGCCAGCTACCGTGCGTAAGGTATTTAACTATTCCTCCTTGGATCTTTCACCGCTCTGAGAGGTCTGTGTTCTGCGTTTAGGGTGAGCTTATTACCCCTCAGCCCTTCGATTTTGTCTCCTTTGTCCCTCAATCCCGCTCCTATGTCGTTGCCCCAATTGTGCGATCAAGCTTTCCCGTCTCCTCTGTTCCTCGATCCCGCTTCTCTGTAGTTCGTGGATAGTGAGGTATACTCATCCGAGTTCTGTGATTCGCAATTTTAGGGTTCCTGTCTCCAGTAAAGAAATGAT